TGCTCCTCTGTATTTCCTACAAATTGGTGGTTGGTTAGGAGCCCTGGTTGTACAGTGATTAAAGCACTTGGCTGCTAAACAAAAAACATCAGCGGTTCAAACCCATCAGTCGCTCCACAAGAGAAGATGTGGCAGTCTGTTCCTGCAAGGATTTACAGCCTTGGAAACTCTATGGGGCAGTTCTACTCTGTCCTATTGGGTCACTATGAATCGGAATCGACTCAGTGGCAGTGGGTTTGGTTCTTGGGTGGTAGTTGGGTCTAGGTCTAAAGACTTAATCAGATTCAGGTTTGTTTTTCTGTCCAGCAAGACTGCTTCATAGGAGAAGGTATGTTTTCATCATGAGACAGATAATGTCTGGTTCTCTCTGTTTAGTGATGTTAGCAGCTGTTAATGATCAATGCCTAGATCCACAAATTCATTAGAGGTTACAAGTGATAATACTCTATCATTGTTTCTTCATTTATGAATTCCAGTCCTTCCAAAAAGAAAATCTTCCCGATATCTACTTGCCAACAAATTAATCATATAATTTATACAGTAAAGGCAAGATAAATGCTCAGTTCTTATTTACCAGTTTCCAAAATAATGAATGGTTCACCCTCTGATGGTAAACAGTTAGGTGTTTTGTTTTGTAAGTATCATCATAAACTCATGTATTTAAACACATTTGATATATTCAGTGCACTGCATTTATTATCCTTATTGCTGCTCAAATTATCCCATCTTTGGTCAGTGCAAGCCTTTTCAAGTTGACTCCTAAATCCTCTTGACATGACCCTTCCTTGCTATCTGGTATGACAAGATCATAAACATAACTTGTAAAAACTTCCTTTTTTCAGAAATAAGGGTAAGAGAAGGAGATAGTTATAACTTTGTGTCTGAATTGCTCCTAGTGATTAAAAAAACAATGACACATTTTCATTATTTAGATTTGTGAGACTTAGTACATAGATTTTTTTATCCTTTTTATTTATTTTCAGTTATACTAGAAAAGTAATTTTTTGAAATATTTTATATTTATTTAGTAAAAGAATGTTCTGTAAACTTCAGATAAAGTAGGGGAAGATTCCTAAAATATTACAGTCTCTGTTAATCTTTAACTTACTCATTTCTGTAATAAAAGGGATCCCTGGTAGCACAGTGGTTAAAGCACTTGGCTGCTAACCAAAAGGTTGGTGGTTTGAAACCACCAGCAGCTCCGTGGTAGAAAGATGTGGCAGTCTGCTTCCATAGAGATTTACAGACTTGGAAACCCTATGGGGTCCCTGTGAGTCATAACTGACCCGATGGCAGTGAGTTTGGTTTGGGTGGGAAAATGTTACTTATGTTATCTGTCAGCAGATATGTAACTAACTGCCCTGCTTGTATGCAAACAGATACAAGAGGGAAAACAGAAGAGTAGAAGAGTCGGGCTGAATCCTTCCATCAGGAGGCTTACAGTCTTGTCAAGGCATTATGTGAATTTAACAGAATAGGGGCTTTTATAAATACCAAGGAAATGATACAGGCGGTATGCACTGTAGGAATCAAAGGTCATTTGATATAATTTCTCACGTGCAAGAATTTCATTTCAAGAAACATTTATTGAATATTTTGTACAAAGCATTGCTAGGGGTCAGAGATAAATAAAAGTAAATGATACAGTTTTGGCCTCCAGTAACAGTGGAGTAAGACTAGACAAGATATGCAGATGCATTTGAATCAGGTGTTGTAGATAGTCTGTAAACCCATGTTTAAATTACACTTGCTATATAAATAGGAGAGTGGTCTAACCTCTCTAGGGTGACCAGAAGAGGCTGAATGGAGGGCTTTGAGTGCCTCAGTTGTGCCATACTTTTGCTTTCTCCAAGTCTGTACACAAAGGATTCCCTCTGCCAGGAATATTCTTACTCCTTGCCAGTTCCTGTTCATCCTTCAGGAGAAAGCTTAGATGTCACCTCTTCAAGGAAGCCTTCTGTGGCCACCCCTCCTCCTAAGTCTATTATAGATCAGAAGCACAAGAGGAAAGCCTTGAACAGTAAAAAGGAAGTGCTTCTGAGATGGAAGGAAAAGTGAGAATAGGTGCAGACAAAGGTATCTATATCTATAAAGTACTCTGCTAATTGCTATGGGGAGTACAAAAAGGAAACACATGGATTTCATCATCCAACAGCTCATAGTTTAGAGCAGTGCCTTTCGAACTGCAGGTCATGGCCCATTAGAGTGTGTCATTAAATCAGTTCAATTTGTGTAATAAGCATTTTCCCCCAAGAAGTAGAGTGCATCCCCTGTAGTAAGGATGAGTGTTGCTTTATGAAACATTGATTTCACTTGTCTTTGTATGTTACTGGGTCATTGTGTAAAATGCATATCTTACTGTAGATGTTTGTTAGAAAAATTTGAAAAGCATTGATCTGCACACAGAAGATAATATGCATAAACATGTTGATACCCTTCTTATGTTTAGTCAGCATTTAGTTAAATTCACTGAGCACTTACTACAGGCTGTTGACAAAGATGAGCACAAGCAAGGCATAGGCCCTTCCCTCAGGGTGTTTACAGGTGAAAGGGGGAAAGAGAAGCTGTTACAAAGTACAGATAAACACTAAAACAACGCCTTGAAATGTTTCCAAGGAAGCAGGAATACAGGAGTCTCCAATTAAGAACTGTTAGCCAAAAAGGCAGAAGGAAAGAGGAAACGGGTTACATGCAGAAATATCAGCCCTATGCAAAAGGACAAAAATTACAGATCATGTTTAGGAACTGTAAGTGAAGCTACAGCATGGAGTATGTGTGAGAGAATGACAGAGATAAGTCCATAAAGGTAGGTTGTTATGTGCAGTCGAGTTAATTCCAACTCATAGCAACCCTATAGGACAGAGTAGAACTGCCCCATGGGGTTTCCAAGGCCGTAATATTTATGGGAAGGAGCTCTGGTGGCACAGTGGTTATGTGCTCTGCTGTTAACTGAAGGGTCTGCTGTTTGAACCTACTGGCCACTCCACGGAAGAAAGCGGTGGCAGCCTGCTTCCCTAAAGATAATAGCCTTGGAAGCCCTATGGGGCAGTTCTACTCCGTCCTGTAGGGTCACTATGAGTCAGAATCGACTTGACAGCAATCGGTTTGGGTTTTTTTGGTTAATCTTTATGGAGGCAGACTGCCACCTCTTTCTCCCATGGAGTGGCTGGTGGGTTTGAACCACCGACCTTTCGGTTAGCAGCTGAGCACTTAACCACTGTGCCACTAGGACTTCTTAAAGGTAGGTTGTTGTTGTTAGGTGTCGAGTCGGTTCCAACTCATAGTGACCCTATAAGAAAGAGTAGAACTGCACCATAGGGTTTCCAAGGAGCAGCTGACGTTTTGGTTGGCAGCTGAGCTCTTAACCACTGTGCTGCCAGGGCTCCTTAAAGGTAGGTAGGCACCAGATATTAAAGCACTTTGTATGCTACACTGAGAGATTTGAACTTTATCCTATTGGCCAGGGGTTGGCAAACTTTCTATAAATATAGTAAATATTGAGGCTTTGCTGACCATAAGGTCTCTGTCACAACTACTCAACTCTGCCACTATAGCAGGAAAGCAGCCACTGACAATATGTAAGCGAATGGGCATGGCTGTGTTCCAGTAAAACTTCATTTACAAAACCAGGCAGAGAGCTGGATTTAACTTACAACCCTTAGTTTGCCGCAGGGCTTCAAACCAATTGGATATACGGAATCAAATCTATATTTAACAAGATCCCCAGGTGATTCTTACGTATAATTACCTGGGAACTTATTAGAATGCAAATTCTCACTATGGGTTCAAACCAGAACAAACCAGTTTGAAGCCCTGGTTTGCCAACTCTTAGGAATTTTGGTTCTCAAAGTTAGGGTCCATCAGAATCACCTGGAGATTGCTGGACCACATCCCCAGAGTTGTTTGTTCAGAGGGCATGGGGTGGAATCTGAGGATTTGCGTTGCCAATAAATTCCCAGGTGATGCTGATGAACAATAGACTAGGCAAACTTGAGGCTGGGTGGTGATGGTTGGTAGAAAAACAAGAATTAGATTGCTAAGTTCCTTGAATGCCAAGCACATTGTATCTTGCAGGTTGTAAGTGGCTATTAAAGAATTTCTAGCTGGGGTGTCATATGAAGAATTACTTCAAAAAGTTAATCTGATAATGCAAGGAGACCAGATCCAAGACTGCTGGAATACTTTGGTTATAAAGTATTGGCAATGAAAACAAAAGGAAAAGATAGAGATGTTTCATAGAATAAAGTCACAGAATCTGTTGATTGATTGGAAGTAGAAGGAGAGGGAGTCATTATATTCACTGCTGGGAAGAGAGGAAAATGGTGGAACCATTGGCAAAAAAAGGAATTTAAATAGGGAGTTGTTTCTAAAGTTTAAGTCTGAAAAAAAGTTTGAGATGTTGGCTTTATCTAGCAAACGATAAATAAATAAATATTTTGGAGTCATGTTTATGTAGGTGATATTTGAAAGTTTGACAGTGGGTAAGCTTTGCAATTGAAAAACCAAGAGCCAAATACTGAACATTATGGAAGGTTACTTTGTGGGCAGAGAAAAGGCAGCAGGAGAGGAGTAGTCAGAAATGGAGAGACCAGGTTGATGTACTAGCAGAAGGGCAATGGAAAGAAGAAATTCTCAAGGTGGGAAGCATGGCTGAGTTTTTTTTAAATGAATAATTCAGTGCACATCTTTAAAGTCCACACAGAACCAGAAGTCCTGGGTAGCAGCATACACTTCATGTGTAAATTCAACAAACACTTGTTGAACTCCTACAGTTTGCCATATTATTCCTGTCATATGAAACACCTTACCGTATTTAATCTTCAGGCTGTTTTGCAATGGGAATTACAATCTGTCTTTTGTAGATGAGGAAACTGTGACTCAGAGAGATCTAAAGCATCTTGGCCAAAGCCTCACGGCTGATAAACTGGGTTTCTGAGTCCATTACAGCACAGTTGTTGGGTCTTGAAAAATTGTGCTTGATCAATATAGTGTTCAGTAGTGTGCTAAATCAGCAGTCTTTAGTAGTTATTTAGACTGTTTTACTCCCTACAAAGCAAGTTGGTCAAAAGAAAGTTACAAGAAGTAGGTTTGAAACTATTGATTGAGACTAAAACAACTGACAATTTAGGACATGTCCCCCTCCCACAAAAGCAAGATATCATAAAACAGTTGTTAGCATGGTATAAAACCTCACTGTGATTTAATTTACTCATTTATGAAAATAGGGTTAACATCTTCTAAAGTTGTTGTAAGAATTAAATGAAGTGGTGCCAATAAGAATAACCACTAATACTTATGTTATGCTACTACATGCCTGACACTTGTGCTAAGCACTTTACGCTTGTTTAATCCTTACCAGACGTGTGAGGTAGGTACTAAAATTATCTCCATTTTACAGATGAGGAAACAGAGATTAAATAACTTGCCCAAGGTCACACATCTGGTAAATGTCAGAGCCAAGGTTCCACCTAGTTCCAGACTTGCTTCTAACCACGACACTGTACTTCTCCCTTTAATATAAATGATGAACACAAAATCTGCCCCCAAAAATGTCCACTCATCCTTAAATATTAGTTTTCCTTTTGTGACATCAATTCAGAATATATTTGTTTATGATATGCTACTAAAGAAATGAAATAAAAATGGATAGTTTTTAATTGCTTTACATGAATTTTAAAATTTCTTTCCTAGCTCAATGTCAATTGCTGCAAGCTTAGTGAGTGAAGATACAAAAACCAAGTTTTTGAACAAAATGGGCCAGTTGACAACATCAGGTGCCATGCTGGCCAATGTATTTCAGAGAAAGAAGTAAAAACAGGAAGGAAGCCTCCAGTAAACACTAAGATGGACCTCAAGCAGACTGGTTCCTTGTACTTGAAGTACTTGCCTTTTTTTATTTCTTCTGTTTTATGTTCTTGCATTATAATTTTATCCTAATCTCCAAAGATATTTGCACTGCTATTGATTATTGCTGTATATGTGTTAATTTGGGTTATAACTGTGGTGATAGGAAATTGAGTTGATTGTACCAAGTCCCTCTTCTGTGTTCTTGTCTTTCAGAATAATTTTTTATATATATAGTGAAGAGTTTTTGTTTTGTTTTTTATTTTTAGATGGGATGTTAGCAGATATCTGTATTATACACTGAGCTATTACAATGGTACTTAAAATAATGTAAATTTGAAGTCATTGTTATAAAGTAATAAAAGTGGAGATTACTTAAGTATTTAAATTATGAAAGAATAATGCACACTTTTTATTGTTTCTTAACTGACTAGAAAGAGCCACCAGCATTACTCTGTGCCTTTTGGACTTCAGTTTATGTGTTCTGTAGGAATTGTGCACATTCCATTCACACAGTATTTCTTTATGATGCTGTGATGAATTTGAGTTGCAAACCCTACAGCAAATAGATAATGATGAAACTTTCAACATTTCAGAGCTCTCATGAATATTCTTTAAGTGCTATTTAAACCTCCCCAGCACTACATACATGTAATGGACTTACCTGAGGATAGATAGCACATTAAGTATGGGGAGCGGTAACCAAGGTGAATTTTACAAAGTGGTGTGTAGTATATTTAAATGCTCAAGAATAAGTGTAATTGAGAAGAGCTGATAATTGTGAAAATTTTCCCAAATTGAAATACAGAAGAAAATATGTTTTGAACCTAAAATTTAAGTTATTTATGTACTTTATTTAAGACATTATTTTCTAATGATTTTAGTTTCAGATATTTTCATTCTGTGTATTATGGAGAAGTACGGAAAAGTTCAGAACATTGGGAGCTGCTTTTTTCCTCTAAATAAAAATGGCATTGGCTAGATTATTATTGGTTAGTTCCCACATCACCCGTTAAAGTCCGTGACTATTACTGTTTGATATATATATATATTAGAGTCTTAAGTCAATGTACAAATTGCACTGGAATTTGACAGTTGTCTATATAGTACTGCAACTTGAAGTGGAAAACAGTGGTCTTGGAAATGGAAGCAGAAGGTTGATTGACTTGAGGGGTTAATGTGAGGCCTTTTTGAAAGATGAATATTTTGATAAAGCGAATTATCGATTGAGCACAGTTGATGCACATAGGTGATTCTCCTATTTGTTGTATAAGCTGGTTTAATACACTTGAAACATAGCTGAATTACATTCACTTCTTGGGAAAGCTCACTTACCACACATTCAAGCTTATAAAATAATTTGCCACAGGCAAAGCCATTTAAAAAGTTCATTCTGAAATTACTTCTTTCACCTACAGTAAAATAATTGTTGACTCACTAGTTTTTCTGGAAACTGTTGGATTCTAGGCATTCCTGAGAAATTAAAAGTGGCTACCTTTCATGTCAAAAATGTTGATCTATTATAAATAAAATGTTTTGCATACTTTTTGTTTTGTTTTTGGCTATGTGTTTTATTTTCATTTTAAAATACTATATCCTATATCCAAGCAAAAGAAATAAAAGCATATACTGTATTGACAAAAATGTACTAATATTTTATTTTAGGCATGTAATCTATATAAACTACTTGATTTGCTTTTATTAAAAAGAGATTGTGGTGCTATATGACTAATACATTCAGAGTAATTTAAAGAAATGTTTAAACTGATTTGCGTTGAGCTATAATAGAATAACTGTATGTTTGTTACTAGATGAACAGATACAATGTATTTTTACTGTAATTCCTATTAGTGAATCCCTGTATTTAAATGCTGATTTTAAAAAGACTACAGAAAGCAAGATACATATTTTAAATGAGTCTCTTGCCCTTAAAGATCTTAATACTGTCAAAATTTCACATTTAGTAATACTGATTTTAATAGTAAAATATGGACTCTTTAAAGAAAGACAAGATAGGCACTAATCACTGAGGCTGAATATGTTCTTCCAAAACAGGCCGTAAAACTCCCATACTCATTCTTTTTACACAGAAGAAAACCTGTACAGGTTTAAGTATAAACTTAATAAAAAGCCAAGTTTGCAAAGCAGTGAAAAGTAGTTTGAAATTACACTTGTGTTTGCAAAGCAAGCCAGAGGTTAAAATTTTTCAGAAATCCAGAAGTACCACAGTTGCCAATTTAGCTGAATTCTTCTAAGAACGATGCTTGATGGGTGGCAGTATTCATCTCTATACACAGGTGTCCTTGATCTTCATTTGTTTGCATGAGTTACCCCTGATGTTTCCTAAACATCAAATTGACTTAAACCTAAATGAAATTGTGAGTAATTTAAGTCAAGCCATCCTCATAGATTACCTTTAGAATACGTCAACTGCTCTACTTAGTTCTACACTAATTTTAACAGGCTCTAAATTCAAGGTGCTAGCGTATTTCTTTTTCTTACAGAAAAAAAAAAAAGTGGTTCAAATAGTCCCTGATAAATTTTGATGAAGTAGAATCAGTATGTATTGAACTGTCTTTTCATGAACCCCAATTTTCGAGATAACCTATTTGGGATCATTATTTGAACTTATTTAAGGAGATATCTTTCTCTAGATACTACTTCGTTGACCTTAGAACTGTGATTGCTGACTGCACTTTCAAGGGTAAACATTTTGTGCTGATTGCTAGTTTCTTGTGTGTGTGTGTATGTGTGTGTGTGTGTGTGTGTGTGTGTAAAGGATGTGTATTTAAAGAGCTTTGTATTTAGTTAGGAGCCCTGGTAGCACAGTGGTTAAGAGCTCGGCTGCTAACCAAAAGGTTGGCAGTTTGAATCCACCAGCCGCTCACTGTAATCCCTGTGGTGCAGTTCTTCTCCACCCTGTAGGGTCACTATGAGTTGGAATCGACTTGACGGCAACAGGTTTTGGTTTTGGTATTTAGTTAGTGAGTCCTGGTGGCACAGTGGTTAAGCACTCAGCTGCTAACCAAAAGGTCAGCAGTTTGAACCCACCAGCCACTCTGCAGGAGAAAGATGTGGCAGTTTGCTTCCATAAAGATTTACAGCCTTGAAAACCCGATGGGGCAGTTCTACTCTGTCCTGTGGGGTTACTATGAGTCAGAATTGAGTTGATGGCAATGAGTTTGGTTTTAGTATTTAGTTGTTCTAACTCCCGAAATTCTCCAAATTGGCCAGGTAACAAAATTCTAACTTCGATTGTCAGAAGTTAGCTCTCTTATAAGCAAACTATGAAATAAATGTAGTCTTTCATATGAACAGATATGTTTGAAGATTCTAATGTAGCTTTATAATGTGCTTCTTTTTGTTACTACCGTTTTATTTCAGTACATTTTAAAGTAACAGATTAAAGATATACTCTAACAGCCAAAGATGATATATGTCTGGTAAATTTCTGCATATTTACAATATGATTGCATTTTAGACTATTTTCACCCTACATAAGGATGTTTTGTTGTACATGTCATCACATCGTGTCTAGAATCAGTGCTCTAATCACAATCTCCGAGTGGCACATCTCGTCATTTATATTTTCCCTTTAGGACTAACTACAGGAAACTTTGTTTTGATTACCTTCTTTATGGTTTACTTTGTTTGCATATTTTAAAAAATCTTACATGTTCCTATTCTCTGTAAGACCATACGAATCATAAAGAACAGATAATAACTAATGTAAACTTAATGCAGTATTAAAAAAACTTTTATTTTTTAATTATATATAAATAATTCCTTCCATTCAATGTTGTGGGGAATGTAAATTATTTGCTTTTCTCAAAAGAGTCTTTAATAATATCTGGAACATTCTTTCTGAAATAAATCTACACAGACAACTATTTAACTTTTTATCAGGATATACATTTTCAATAAACCTGAAAATATTACAAATATCTCTATATAAAATATACATTGATGATTAGTATAATCTAATAATTTCTCACTGACTTTATGATTTCATAGATGTTTTATCTTCATTTCTGATAATTACTTGACAGTTCTATAATTTTTGGCTTTCTATTCTCATAAGAGTATTAAATAGTATATTAGTAATATATTAAATAATGAACCTTGTAGTGAATACTTTCATAATGTAAATCATTTCCTAATTTATTTTTACACAGATTTTATAAATATGGTCATCTTTCTAACACATCCTTTTGTTTTACCCTTCAAAGAGCATGGGAATTATATTCTCTATTCCTCATGAAATTTTCCTATGAAAATTACATATAGTAAGCTTGAAAGCACTTCAGCCTAGAAAGTATTATGAAAGTTAAAAGTGGAATTAAAATTTTTAAATCGCTGAATAACTAAAGCATGGATAACTATGGATAAAATCTCCCCTCACCCCATGTTTTTGTTACATCTACTTTTCTGGTAAGTGAATAGGTTATGTGCCTAGGCATGATTCACCTAAAATTGCAGTAGAAGGCAGACACTACTTTTGCCTATTTTAACCTCTCCCAGGGTTTGTAACCCAGTGAAGATTGTGTTGTTGTTGTGTGCTGGGAGCCCTGGTGGCACAGTAGTTGAGAACTTGCCTGCTAACCACCAGCCACTCCTTGGAAACCTTATGGGGAAGTTCTACTCTGTCCTATAGGGTCACTGTGAGTCGGAATCAACTTGACGGCATGGGTTTGGGTTTTTTTGGTCAAATCTATTCCAACACATAGCGGCCCCATATGACAAAGCAAAACTGACCTCATAGGGTGCCCTAGGCTGTAATGTTTCTGGGAGTAGATCTCCTGGTCTTTTCTCCTGAGGAGCCGCTGATGGGTTTGAACTGCCAACCTTTTGGTTAGCAGCTGAGCACTTAACCAAGGCTCCTTAGTGAAGACCGGTAAGTTCATTTTACTTTTTATTTTCCAAAACTTGTGATTAAACTGAATATTCAACTTAAAATTTTTCATTAATATACGTTTGATTCTTATAATATCTAGTTCTTCTTTTGATATTTAGTTTGAACTTCCAGGCTCCTTCTTTGTAACTAAACTTTTCATATTAATGGGAGAAAAGTAAGAGCTGACCTTTCTTGAAAATAATTAGCTTCTGGTGTTACTGAAAAGAAACTCTTCAGTTAACCATTGGCCTATAATGAGAGAAGCTAGAATCCAAGTTTCTTGATGAAGGGTCCAAAGGAGTGGACAGTGTGGTAAGGGGGAATCCAAGAGAGTGTGGCATCTGAAGCAAAGAGAAGAGCCGTCCAAGGAGGAGGGGCTGATTAGCTATGTCAGTTGCTACTAATCAGTCAAGATAAGGTTGAGTCTGAAACCTATTGGAAGATTTAAGTCATTGATGGCTTCCATAGTAGTTCCAGTGGTTTAGTGGAATTAGAAGCCTGATGGGAATGGATAAGGAGGGACCACGACTAGAGATGACAGCAGTTCCTTCAAGAAATTTTGCCATGAAGAGAAGTAGTTAGACGGGAACACGGGGTCCAGGTAGGGTTTTGCTTAGTTTTGTTTTGTAATGGAAGAAATTAGATCATGTTCATACACTGATAAGAATAATCCAGTAGAGTGAGAGGAGGTGATAAGACAGCAGCAGGCAATAACTAACTAACTTACCCTCTTTGGGAAAGCAAGAGGGGTGAGATACAGAGCACAAATGTAACAGGAGAAAAGGCAGAGAATATATACACTTGCAGATAATTTGGTAGATTTAGTGGTGGGAAGATTAGGGAGTTTCCATGTAAATCCTTTTATTTTCTCAGTGAAGTATGAACCAGAGACATCAGCTTGGCTGGCATAGATAGTGAGAGCAAGTATTAGAGGCTTGAGGAGAAAAAAGGTAGAAATGTTTTGTTTTCAAGAGTGGCAGGGTAAATTTTGGAGGGAATTGTAGGACTGCCAAGCAATTTTGAGAACCGAATGGAGAATAGTGACAATAATTAGCACAATTACATATTTTTTTCTCCAGCTGGGATGGTAGCAGATGCAAAGTATGCAGAGAGAAAGTCAGTTCAAAAGGGTTGCCAGATAAAAAAATCAGTTATATTTCTATGTAACAGCAGTAAGCTATTAGAATATGAGATTATCCATATGGAAAAATGTATCATTTGAAATAGCATTAAACACCTAGAATAAATCCAGTGAAAGATGAGCAAAACTTCTACACAGAAAACTACAAAACACTGAGCGAACTTAAAGGAGACCTAAATAAATAAAAGGATATACCATGTTCATGTACTGGACAACTCAATAATGATGTCAACTTTCTACAAACTGATCTATTTATACATCCCAATCCCAAACAAAATCCCAGTGTTTTTGTGGAAATTGACAAGCTGCTTCAAAATTTATTTGGGAATTCAAAGGGCTAAGAAGAGCCAAAATAATCTTTAAAAAGAGGAACTACGGTGCGCTGAATTAACATGGCCCTTCTAACCATAGTCTCTGTAACTCTCATCAAATGACTGGGTGGGACTATGAAAATGAAGTGCTTGTGACACACCAAGGGGACTGGATAACTTGCTAATAATGTAAATAA